TATCAACACCCAATTCCACTGTATTCTTAGCATTCACAAATACCTACTCGATGTGATAAAGTAAATATCCAATATGAGATGAAGGACAGGACAGACCGCGAGCCTTGATGTCTCCGTTGAGCTGCTCAGCCTCACCTTTTTCCCTGTACTCCACCTGGGTTTGACATTTGGCATCTCTGTTTATGGAGGCAGAAAGCCGAGGCAAGTTCAACAACATTTCAATGTCGGTCGACTCAGACTCCTCTCTACTGTTGTCTTCTGTCTTCTGTGGCCCCTCTCTTTCAATCATTCTCAATGTCTGTCAGTACATGTCTTCGTCTCCATCCGTCCATTTGTCCTTGTGTCTTCACTTTTTGCAGAGGGACAAGGACGGCGCCGACATTATCCTGTGCCTGTCTCAGCCAGGCGGCAAACTTAACGACGGGAAATGCCAAAATCACCTACACACAGACACAACCGCAATAAGTTGATGAGGAAAATTGAAATTAAATTTTCCCCACAAAATGCCATTCAAAACTGGCTACCCAAGAAGGACATAAGCCGGTTGAGTCAATGAACTAAGTTTTTGGTATCACAGATAGCAGAGCATAAATGTTCTCAAAATAATAAAAATATATGCGGTTAACATAAGTTGTTTATACTTTTCCGCATAAATAAAATTAAGTTAGATTTTATAAATTCCTTCGAGATAATTGATTTTATTGATATTTTCAACATTATTCAATGAAAACAACATTGACTTGAACCCTATTTCTTTGAACACATACATATTTTAATACACAAGCTCGAGGCAATATTTTGTTAACCACAACTGTAGATCTGCTTGCTTATTAGAAATATGTTTTTGTCACTGCCTCGAAGGCATTTAATTAAGCATACCACCAGTCGACAAGGGGATAAGAAGCAAAAGAGAAAAAGTCATACACAAACCGACGCAGCCAAACATAATTATTCATTTTCATTGTGCACTTTGGAGGCACTTGAGCAAATTTTGTGCAATTTGCACCACGCAAAAGTGCAGAAATTGAAATAAATGGATGATAAGCAAAGGGGGCAAATGGGGCAAAGGCGGAAAATGAGGGTGGGTGGAGTGTGGGGGATAAATGAAGTGGAGAATTCAATGTTTGTCTGCCCGCTTGCAGCAGCAATGCAAACAGCAGCAGCAGCAGCAACAACAATTGCAGCGGTGTCTGCAACATGTTGCCATGACAATGACTGTCGACGTTTGGCGCCGTCTGGCAAACACAACCACACACACGGAGATCTATAAGTACACACAGAATCAGTCTTACGCAGACAGACACACCACAATGCATATCAAATGCTTAAATGACAACAGCAACATCTACGCTGCCACCAGCAACATCAACGATTGCATGGAGAAAAAATATGTATATCTTACATAGTATTTGATCCATAATTTTTAGTACCTAAAAAGCCACTTTCTATCATAATTTTCCATTTTATGGTTAACCCAGAAATTGAAAATGGTTTCCATCTTGAACGGAAACTCCCCACTATAAGCATATAATAGTTTCCATTTGAATAGTTTCTTATTAACTTTTTATGTCTACTACTTTTTTTTAAGAACCCGTCTATTATCAGTTTCTATTTTCGAAATATCAAAGTTTTCTTCTTCATGCAGTCGTAACATCAACGTGTGACAAAGCAGCTGGGGGCGGAAAAGCGAGGAAAAGTGGCAAAGGAAAGGAAAACGGCGGGGGGATCCCCGAAAGACAGTTACAATAAATGTCATGTTTAAGGCAGTCAAGCGACGCACATCACTCCTCGAGAAGAGCAGACTGCCAGCCAGCCAAACTCCATCAGCAACATCCGCGCACACAAAACAGCAACAATAATGGCAATGGCAACAACTTTGGCAAACATGGCCCGAAGCAATACCACTCGCACCTGAGTGGGCGTAGACATGTCTGAGATGGAGAACTTTTGCATAAATTTACTGACTTTAATAAAAATTTAATTCCATGTGGAATTTGCACATTGCAACGACCGTAGAGCATATGCCAAATTTTTTTGCACTCCTTTGAGAGCGCGTTTTTATATCGTAGACTGCATAAATTTCGGGCCTGTCCAGTGGCGCCCATCAACCGAATTTTTGTCTCTTGCCATTCCGCTGGAATTCGGCTCAAAATTCGCTGACACTGGCAAAGAACTGAAAACGGAAAACTCTTGGTGCCGAGAATGTGCAGCCATCAATCTGGGGAAGTGTCGCCACTCCAGGGTCCTCTAAAAAAAATTGGGAAGCGATATATGTAAATATGTATCTTGAATTTCATTTTCGAGGGTATCATAAAAAAGCGGAACCCAAACCAATAAGTGCCTGTCGTTCCCTTTCAACTTTTGAGTTTGACAACAGCTCGGAAAATTTCCGCCACCAAGAAGCAAAAGGAAATGCCCTGATGTGAAGTGTCAGTTTGAAAATAAGAGGGCGATGAAAAAAATGATCGCAAAAACGGCAAGCGAAAATTTATTTATTTCTATTCAAATTTGAAATTTCAGACTGCGATTTCCGAGCAAAGCAGACACACATGGCAGCGCTCATCAATCATTTATACAAAAACTTATTTTCTTGCTTAAAGTTCGCCAGAGACAAAGATTGATTGGCATATTAAAAACGCGCAGAAAACAGAGCAGATCTCGAACTGAATCATCGGACACACCCCTCAACAACAAAAAAAAATACGGAAAGGATTAAGGAAGAGCTGAAACAATTAGCAGATGTGCACAGTTCGAATTGAAGTTCAATCCCCGGAGCTGTGTTAATTATAATTATTATAGCTGCCTTGCTTTTTTACGCTTCTTTTTGACGCAAATCCCCTGACAGCCAAAATGTCGACAGCTGATTGGGAGAAAGGTTAACCCCCAAAGTCTATGATATGCTGATTAAAAAATCAGCGAGGCGGTAACAACCCTTTCGGGAATCATCGAGTGGCACAGCAAATTGCTGGATGATTAACAAGTTGACTTGTCTTAATTATGACGAACCGGTTTTTTGTTGGTTTGATCCGTTTTGTTTGACTAGGGGATTACTCAAAAAATCCCTATCCTTCGGGCAAACAAGAAAAACTTTATCCTACAAACTCTAATTTCCCTTTTCTATTTTCGTTGCACTTCTTTAAGCCCGGCTAAAAACTTCTAACCGAAAAATCCTAGACGGTTTATACAAACAAAAAATTTCGCCTGGGTTTCATGGAATTTTGAATGGCATTAAATATTTATAAATTCAATACGAAATGCAATTCGGAATGCATGCCAAAAAGGAGCAGCAGCAGCAACAACAACAACAGATTGAATTGTAAAGTTTTTAAAAGCAATTCGCTGCCAGACAATGCCTTCTCTTTCGGATGCGTGCAGACATCGCATAAGTTGGCCAAAAGGGAAATTCCGAGACCAGCTGCAGATACAGATACATTCGCCAGATACAATTTTGGCTACGCAAAACATATTCAAAGCTCTCTGGGGTGGCAGAAAAGCGAGACAGGCAGGCAAGGTGTATTCCCAGGATTTTCCCCCAATTGTCCTCCGAGAAATGCACCCCGCCACTCTGTCTGCCTGCTGCTTATGAAATATTCAAGGCGCACTCGAAGGACTTGTGCATCCCTCATATGCACATACATATACGTTATGATTTCATGAGTTCTGACCAGAGTGGATTTCGGTTTGGCAACCGCAAATGGCGAAGTTCGCCTTGGAGGCTCGCTAATTGCCACTTGAAGCAATCCCCAGCCCAGAAGACTGCGGCTCCGAATCGGTTTTAGTCGGTTCAATACCCCTGCTCGTCCCAACCGCAAACCCAATCATATACATGTATATCAATCGAAGCAACAGCAACAATGGGTTTAGCCGAGCATAATCCATAACAATGTGCAGTTCGAAGGGCTTAAGCAGAGGCCTCAATCTCAAAATTCAATGACTTGCAGTGCACCGGGAAAAATAAATAATGTAATCAAATCCTACACTTAAGTGTTTTAGGTAACACAAGCATAACTTCTATTAACCAACTAAATAAAATGCGGTTCAAATATTATTACAATTATGAACAAGACCCAAATTTGAAATACACTTTCATTGTTTTCTATATATTTTTTTTCTTTTTTTTTGCTCAGTGACATATGGATACAATTGAAATCAACTTACACTTGAGCCAACCATCTCTCTCTTACTCCCACACCCATGAAATTGCCTGGCTAGGCATTACACCAAGTGTAAACAGAAATCCGAAACAATTGTGAGGGGAATCGGGGGAATATATAATGCTAAATAGGAGGGAATAATGGAGAGGCCGAAGAAAAGGCTGAATGAGAGGCGGTGAGATTGAAAGATAAGCAGCCCGCCCAAAGACTTTTTCCTCTTGATTGGCTTCCAATGCACTCATTCACAATCGATAATAAAAAAGTGCACCGAAAAAAATACAATAAATGTAATAAAATAATATCAAACAAAAATAAATAAAATCTAGAAAACTACTAAGAAATTACTTATTTTTTAATTTATGGTTTCAATAAAATGTTTGTCTAAAAAATCAATACCATTTCATTCATATTTTAAACATTTTTTTCGGCATAAAAAACAAATATCTTCCCACTACATTTTACATTTTCAGCTTATTATTCCCTTTGCTACTCATGTGACTGCAAAACAGCTTAGACAATGAATATTTGTATTTTTATTCTACGCTGCATTTGGAGCTCATCGCTTCCCGAGAATTCTAACTCAGCTTGGCAGCCTCCGGAGACCAGCTGGAAATTATCTAATCCAACAAATAAACCCACAAGACCCCTCTACATTTATACCAAGGCATATCCAATTGCAAGTTTACCAAGTCAGGCAGATATTTGTTTGCCTTTCCTTCCAAGAAAGCAATGTCAGGCAAACTTTGCGGTTTCTCAATGAGTGAATAAGCGAAGTAGTAAACGAATGTGTGAGTAAATATCGTAGGATATAAATATATATATATACAAATCATAGTCATAACTCACCTTGACTTGATAAGAATTCAAACGAGTCTTTGGCAGCGAATTGAACGACGAAAAGTCCAGGCGACGCGAAAAGATCCCATTGCAACCAGAAGTGGAGCTAAAAAGAGTCAGAGAAAAATATGCATAAATCAGAAAAAGATAGATAAGCGGAAAATATAAATGTGAATGCACAAATTCCTCTAAATAAAAATGTAAATTCTTTGACAGCTGGAAAATTGCAAATATGACAGGCGAGCGGAAATTCCTCTAGTTTCGAATTCAAGCCGGATAGAATGGCGATAAGGATTTCCCTTTCCAAAACGTACTTATATATTGGCTCTAGGCCACGTAACTTAGCGTTATTCTGACTAATCGAGTACTACGTGACTTTTTAGTTTTGTCTTTATACAAAAATGTATTTATATTTTCTTTGCATTCACTGACGTCAGAAGGGGGCTATAATAAAGTGAAAACAAAAGTTTCTTAAAGGCCTTAAAAGCCTTAAAAGCTTAAGAATGACATTATAAAATTAAAACAAATAAAATTATTTTTAATTCCAGCAAGCTGAGCTGCTTTCAGGGGGCGCTGGGAATTTTGTTCATATTTTCTTTTCAGTTTGTTATACTGCCTACGGGCCAAAGCAAATAAAGTTATCAACAATGCCCAATATAAAACAAAACAAGAAAGGAAAGCTAACTTCGGGCGGAGCCGAAGTTGATATACCCTTGCAGAATACTCTGTAAATTATATTCTCCAAAATTATTCATATGATGCATTCTTAATACTCATAAAAATCCGAATTTCCTAACTTTAACAACAACAAAGTTATGGCATTTCCAATCGTTCAGTTATATGGCAGCTATAGGATATAGTCGGCCGATCCTTATGAAATTTGGTAGGTCGGATTGATTGGCCAAAAATAAAATCCATAGAAAATCCCAACTTCCTAACTTTACAAACACCAAAGTTATGGCATTTCCGATCAATCAGTTATATGGCAGCTATATGATATAGTCGGCCGATCCTTATGAAATTTGGTAGGTCGGATTGATTGGCCAAAAATAAAATCCATAGAAAATCCCAATTTTCTAACTTTACAAACACCAAAGTTATGGCATTTCCGATCAATCAGTTATATGGCAGCTATAGGATATAGTCGGCCGATCCTTATGAAATTTGGTAGGTCGGATTGATTGGCCAAATATAAAACCCATAGAAAATCCCAACTTTCTAACTTTACAAACACCAAAGTTATGGCATTTCCGATCAATCAGTTATATGGCAGCTATAGGATATAGTCGGCCGATCCTTAATGAAATTTGGTAGGTCGGATTGATTGGCCAAATAAATAAAACCCATAGAAAATCCCAACTTCCTAACTTTACAAACACGAAAGTTATGGCATTTCCGATCAATCAGTTATATGGCAGCTATAGGATATAGTCGGCCGATCCCGGCCGTTCCGACTTATATACTGCGTGCAAAGGAAAGAAGGGTGTGTGCAAAGTTTCAATCCGATAGCTTTAAAACTGAGAGACTAGTTTGCGTAGAAACAGACAGACGGACAGACGGACAGACGGACAGACGGACAGACGGACAGACGGACAGACGGACATGGCTATATCAACTCAGGAGGTGATTCTGATCAAGAATATATATACTTTATAGGGTCGGAGATGTCTCCTTCACTGCGTTGCACACTTTTGACCAAAATTATAATACCCTCTGCAAGGGTATAAAAAAAAGCCAAAAACAAAAAAAAAACAAGAAAACAAAAATGAAAGCAAACAGAAAATGTGCAAAAACAGTGAGGAAAGAAACGACATGAGACAAAACACTCGAATTCATTTGCTGACCTTGACATTGAATAGATTTTTTTTTTTTTTTTTCTTCCCACTGGTTTTATTTGCATTTATTTTAATTTTAATTTTATTTCTACAGCACTCTCCTCTCCCTCGCTCTTATCAGCTTGTGAGGGGGGCCTCCACTTAGCTCATGTGGAATTTCAACTTATCTGGGAGGAGAAAAAAAAAAAACCTTATCTGGTTGTTGGACTCGAAAGCTAAAAGTTTTTTTTTTGTTTTTGCTGTCATTAGAATTGCTATAAAACGTTGTTTATTTACACCTTGACTTCGATTATATAACATAAACAAAGGCAGACCGAATGTCGCGTCATCTGAAAGTTAGTCATCAGGTTTGGCTAATCAGCAAAGCGGTGCAAATATGTGTAATTTATTTTTAAAACAATTACAGGCGGTGAGGAAATTTAAATTTGAAAGGTTAATTAAACCGAGCGTACATTCCTTCACCCACAAGTATGATCACCCCTTTCCGTTCCTCGAGATATTCTGCTAATTTGGGCAATATGAATTTTAATTCGAATCGAAAAACACAGCAGCAGCTGGCCGGCTGGTCAGTTCGGATCGTTCAGATCGTTCATATCGAATGTGCTCGACCCGCTCTTTATTGTTTGCTTATTTTATTGATCGGATCTCGCACTCCAGATCGAGATGTGCACGGCTAATGAATTTTAATGGCCCAAATGCGTTGGCCTTCCCACCGCCTATTATTGTTCATTTTTGGCCCGAACACGTGCGCTCTGCTCTTTCTTTTGCTATAGAATCGAAAAAGCCCCCTATCAAAGGCGATCTCAATTTTTATGTGTGTTCCCTTTCTTTATTGGGGTGCAAAAAGTGCTGGAATAAAATCGGGCATCTTATTTGGTCGGGTTATGAATTTATCGATTTTATTTGGTCAGAAAATTAAGGATTATTATCACATACTGGTTGCTTATGCGAATTAAATTGAATTGCTTTTTAATTGTCAAAAAGCTTAATACTTTGCTCTCAATTTGTATTAGTATTCTAAAAGTATTTATTCAATTTTTATTATATAAACAAATATGCAGTGATACAACTTTGTTGTTTATTTTTCTACAAATTGCTGGCATTTTAATCGTATAAAAGATCATCAATGATCTTAATTTTCTAATCTGACTGATTTAAATAATTATATTACTCAGCGACTATTTAGTTTATAGCCAGCTATTTGTTTTAATTTGTACATAATCAAGTATTTCGTTTGAATTTCTAGATGCCATTATGCCCGAATTTTGCATTCGACCATTCTGTGAGTCAGATCCGCCTCCTGTCAGCCGCAGCTATATGGCTTATAGCATATAGCTGTCATAGGAACAATCAATGAGTATTGGATCTGGGGGCTGGCCCGTTCTTCCTGTCTGGACTTTTGTTGATTTCGATTCGGACTTGAATGGAGTCCAAAGTGAAGTGCAGTCACAGCTAAGCCAAAGTGAGGTCCGATTCAGAAATCAAGTCCGAATCCAAGACCCATGAATATGGTGTAATTTATAGGCGGCGTCGCTTCCGTCGCCCGTCAAACTGAATGAGCCAAATGAGTTGAGCAGCCAAGACAAAGGCGTTTCAAATTAGAATACCAAACATTATCACATGTTCCGAGCAGCTGACTTTGACCTTGAATAACCGAAAAAAAACACAAGTGAAACTGTGTTGCCATATAAGCTATTTTGTAGCCATGTGAGGTTACTTCAAATGATGGAAAACTTGATTATTTTTCAAATATTTATTTTGAAAAATATTTTAAATCTACCCCGTATTTCAAAAATTCCTTTTTATTTCCATCAGGTCGTCTTAGGGATGAATTTATTTAATTTTATTTAACCCATTTTGGAACTTGTTGAATGCTGGGGTGTGGTATTAGTCATACTCTATATTGCATGCGGATCGATCGGGCTAGGCCTTTGGCCTGCTGTCGAATGAGAGATGAAATGTCGGGAACCCAGGCTCAAGTCGTGCTTCTGTTGTGTGGATCTGCGGGCTGGCTGCTTTTTCCTGGCACTTTTTGAAATTTTCTCATCGATCTTGGGCTTCTTCGCGGGCGAAGGTAAGCGGAGGTAAGCTCTGCATTTAATTGCTTCGATTGGGAGTTTTTTTTAATCTGGTAAACCAAATTTTTTCCTACCCCCAGATGGTCGCCTGTTGGTTATCGGCCGTGCTGCCTATATGCTGCATTTCATTGGGTCGATTTTTCTTCTGATGAGCAGTTTCATGGTATGTGCACACCTTTCGAAGGGCACTCTCTGATCCCATCCGATCTCTTGCAGCAGATCGAAGTGCTGGTCGTCATCTATTTGGGGACCAATATAGTCCATCTAATCTTTTGTACCGCCTTTATAATCGATTACGCCTTGATTTGCGGATTCTGCACCCTGGAAAGCGTACCGGTTTTTTTCACCCTGAGTAAGTATAACTAACTTTGGTTAGGAAATACAATTTTTGGTTCGTATGCAGACTTTTGTAATAAATTCTATGTAGTTCTGCAATGTTTATTTTTTACGTTGATATTTTGTTAATTTTAACCAAGTACTTATTTCAGTTCTCAGCCTCTATTTCTGGGTGGTGGCATTCTCGTATTGGCGACGCCTTCAATGGGAACACAATCCCGAAAACGACGACTGAATCCAAGAAGGGGTAGCGTTAATTCTGGATCTTGAGTGTTTATTCTCTGCGCTCGTGTTTATTTTGGTCTGTGTACTTTTACGTTTTGGCCTTAATTTCACACTAATTTGTAAATTTGCCTTTAATGCCAAAGACAAAGAAGAAAACGAAAAGAGCAAAGTTCCGCAAATTGTTTGTCCAGAGAAATATTTTGTATTCGTTGCGGAGGAAGAAGCAAATGAATTGCAGGCAATCAAAATTGGAGGGAGGGGAAACTATTTTCCAGCGTGCTTTTCCTTCTCCGAGGAACCCAATCACTTCATTCCCGGGCAATTTTCAATCACGTGCTAAGTGCTGCCAGACAGAAAAGAGTCGATTTGTCTGCCCTGCCACGTTAGCATGCAATGCAATGTCGAGAGGGGAAAAATCAGAAAATCGGAAAATCGGGGGAAAAACTGGAGCTGATTTGTGTGCTGCATAATTTTCCGTGCCACAATAAGCGGGAGGGGGTGGAGGCAGCAGCCCATCAAGTGGCAAAACTATTTGCCCTATCACGTACAAATTAAAAATGTGAAATGTTTCAATTTCTGTGGGTCTGTCAGTCCTCTCTGTTTCTGGGATTGCCTCACACAAAAACAACAACAGCCATCTGAGCTCCACTTCAACTTGGATTGTGGATCCCCCATACCTCTATAAGCCCCACTCATACCATCCACCATCCATCGGTTTATGTAAATTCGTTTGCGGTGACTTTGCTTTGGCGCCCAATTAGTTTAATTTATGCAAATACAGCGCGGGCCACTGACAGTGCGAGACGAAAATGTAAGTCAACGGATGTGGAGAGCATGTGGTGGCTATAATCGATAATTAGGTGATTGGATAATTTATAAACTGAAAGTGTTCATGTTTCACTCTAATTAATCGATTCTGGTGAACTGGGACAATCGATATTTTAATCTGTCATTTTTTCCTTTTTCGATAAAGCGATAAATTATTAAACTAAATTATTTGATTACTCAAAAGGCGAATGTTAATGAATGAATTAATGTCATTCCAAGAGGAAATAAAGTGTTAAAGATTTTGGAATGCAATGTAATCGATAATGTAATCGCTTGTTTTGTACCTTATATTTCTGCTACCAACTGTCCCTCTATGATACTCATATATCGAGGCCCGCTAAATTTAGATTTGTCTCCAAGCAGCTGCCTGGCGAATTTAATGATTTTCATGTTTTTTGGATGTTTTTCGGTCAAACTCTGCTCTGCTTCGATCCGAACTGATCTCATTTACGTTTTGGCTATAATAATCTCCATTTGAATGCAGATCAGTGCTTCTTTAGGTCAGTTTTTTCTTCCGATGGGTTTGGCCTCCAAACAAATGTCAAAGCTGCGATTGCAATTAATCGATAAATTACCAAATTCTGGGCGCTGCCAATTGCGAAAATCTTTTTTTTTATTTCTCAGTATCTGTCCGTGCGATTCTTCAAGCGCTTCAAATTGTCGTTAAGATTTGTTCATTTGATAATTTGATTGCGATTGCTGTTATTTCTGCTTTTGGGGCCACACCTCTCAATAAATTAGACGCTGCCCAAAATGCGCAACAAATGCAAAAATAATAATAATAATGGCAAAAGTAAATAGACGAGGCGACGTACACAGTTTTCGTGCAATTGCCTCGTCTCACGTTTTTCCCATAAATAACTGGCTTTCGGCCACAACCCCTCTTCTCTCACCTGCAATTCAATTTTAAATATAAAAATAAATAAATGTATATTTCTTTGTTTGGAGCTGCTGCTTCTGGTTATTGATTAAGTCTGGCAATCCCACCACCCCCATTCGGTCACGCCCCATCATTTGATTGAACTTTTCCCTAAGCGAAATAAAAATTGGAAAAACTGCAGTAGGCCACAAAACAAAGACAAAGAAAAGATAAATCACAATGCAAATAGGAGAGTGGTCATGGTAAAACACTTCAAATGGCAAAGTTGGCACCGCAAGCGTCAAATCAAAATCGAAATGAGTTTCCATCTCACACCGAATAACCAAATCAAAATTAATGAAAATACATTTTACTTTCATTTCTCTGTTACCCAATTTTCCTCTTTTTTTAGACTTTTCTCTTTACAACTCTACTCAATGGGTGCGGTCTTTCTTTATTCCCATGCTAGAGTTTTACACGCAAACCCTCTAAAAAAATTTACAAATATAATGTCATAAACCAATTTATTAACGTTTAAATCGAATTTTTCCTTATCGCTTTTTTTGGTAGAGAATGTAAATGAATTTCCATGTAGTGGACTTAAACAAACAACAAAATTTATATAAAATCCAATACGCTAATGTGAAAAATCTCGTCTGAAATAGAAACCAAATAGTAAAGCCTCTAAAAAAAAACTGATGGTTTATTGCTAGTAAGTTTTTCTGTATTATACGAACATGTTATTTTTAATAATCAACAAGTTCCTTTTCATCGACTTCCCACTGTACTGCAATCTGAGCTGAGGCAGAAAAAAATACATAGCGAAAAACTGACCGCATCGCGACGCAAGATCAGCGGCGAGTGCAAATTGATTAATGGATGCTAAATATTTAAAACATTTTCCAGTTGCTGTGTAAAGCGAAACCATGAAAAGTTGCCGCTGCGTTGTTGCTGTTATTAATTGTTGTAGTTTATGCCTTAAAACGGCAACCAGTTTAGTTGAACCCCCCACCCAAATGACTATCGCATCTGTTCGATCTTTGCAAACGATCTCAAATTGCAGTGGAAAATGGAAACAAACTTTTAGCTTTGGTTAATTGCGCAAATTTAGCCAAGAGGCTCTGATTTAATCCATGGAAATAGCAAATGTTAATCATGTGGGTTGTGTCTTGTGTCTTGCACAAAGAGACAGACAGATATACGAGCTCATTTCTTGCCACACATTCGTTGCCTTTGTTCCAAGTACGAAGCGGGCAAATTAATTAATAAAATACAAAAAAGGGGGGAGAAAAAGTAATGGAGAAAAAATGAAACAAATCGAAATAAGCATAAACAATGCTGAGCTAATTAAAGCAGCAGCCCAGCAACAACAAATGCCAAGCCAGACCGACCCACATCTAAAAGTTGATCATTTAAAAAAAAAATTATGATAGCACATAAAAATACTCAGTGTCTAAATGTTTTACAAATTTGGAAAGTTAAAATAAATCCTGTTCATTTAAATTTTAGTATTACAATTATGTGATCGTTTTATTGTGAAATTTAAGTACAAAATATTCAAAATATTTATTGCAGAATCATTAACTTTTTTTTGGAGTGGCAGATTAATTCGCTACGAGAGAAAACTTGAGCTGTAAAATTTGTAGTTGGTAGTTAGGAAACACCTTTCTTTTTAGACATTTTACTTTCAGTTACGAATTGACTTTTCAAACCATCACACCTTTTCGCTCTTTAACTACCACTTATTGAAAAATTAAAACTAGTGCACTTGAAGCGCAACGTGGAAACATAAATCATGGCAAAAAGTCATTTTACAGCAATCCCAAATCGGAATCCGCCACAAAGGCCAAATGGTAGAGGGGCAGGGGCAGAGGCAGGGGGAAGGGGACAGGTGAGGGGCCGACAAGCCACGCATGAACTCGAACTGAACCTGGCCTGAACTTTAAGCCCAGTAGCAATTGTTGAGGGAGGGCGTGTGCAAATCTGAATGCACAGAAAACATTTATTTATCAAGATTTCAATTCTTCAAAATAAAAAAAAATCTTTAATAGCACCTTTTAAAACTATTTATATATTTTTATGAAAATTAAATTACTTATTTAAACAATTTTATAATCACAATATATTTTTATACCCTTGCAGAGGGTATTATAATTTTGGTCAGAAGTTTGTAACGCAGTGAAGGAGACGTTTCCGACCCCATAAAGTATATATATTCTTGATCAGGATCAATAGGGGAGTCGATATAGCCATGTCCGTCTGTCCGTCTGTCCGTCTGTCCGTCTGTTTCAATACCGTTTGTGAGCTCAGTTTAAAAGCTAGCGATCTGAAACTTTCACACGCGTCCTAAAACATGTGTACGCAGATCAAGTTTGAAAATCGCCCCGATCGGACGTCTATATCCTATAGCTCCCATAGGAACAATCGGATATATCTAGCAAAAATTGATGATATTTCGCGCAGTGTAAAAGCTATTGACATGAATTTTTCCAAATCGTATTTTTTTATGCATACCTTGATCAGGGTAAAAGCGCGTGGCAATCGGACGTCTATATCCTATAGCTCCCATAGGAAAAATAGGGTAAAATCGGTCCAAATTTTATGTTTTTCAGAATATTTCGCGCTGTGTAAAAGCTATTGCTATAAATTTTTCAAATCGTATTTTTTATACATTCCTTCATCAAGGTGAAAGCGCGTGCTGATCGGACGTCTATATCCTATAGCTCCCATAGGAACAATCGGATATAACTTTCAAGAATGGAAGATATTTTGTGCAGTGTAAAAGCTATTAACATAAATCTTTCCAAATCTTATTTTTTTATGCATACCTTGATCAGGGTAAAAGCGCTTGGCGATCGGACGTCTATATCCTATAGCTCCCATAGGAACCATAGGGTGAAATCGGTTAAAATTTAATGATTTTTAGGATATTTCGCACAGTATATAAGCAATTGACATGAATCTTTCCAAATCGTATTTTTTTATGCATACCTTGATTATGATAAAAGCACGTGACGATCGGACGTCTATATCCTACAGCTCCCATAGGAACAACAGGGTGAAATCGGTCCAAATTTGATGATTTTCTGAATTTTTCGCGTAGTGTGTAAGCTACTGACATAAATTTTTCCAAGTCTTATTTATTTACGCATATCTTGATTAGGGTAAAAGCGCTTGCCGATCGGACGTCTATTTCTTATAGCTTCCGTAGGAAAAATAGTTAAAGGCTGCGAAAGTATCCCTTTTTTCTATTTTTATATGACATTTTTGCAGTATAAAAGCAATTGACATTAAACGATGAAAATCTAGTTTATTTATGTATACCTTATTCCTTTGGCTACTTTTTCAGTTTTAGCAATTTCGGCAAAGTCTGCAAGGGTATTAAAACTTCGGCTTGCCGAAGTTAGCTTCCGTCCTCGTTTTTTCTGTGTTGCAAGTCGTGATTGTTTTTTTTCTTTAGTCAAATCAGGTTGATGAGCATCGGACAGTCGCTGAAAGTAAACTAGTTCTGGGATCTCCTCTCCAACTCCCGAGGAGCAACAGGCCACCATTCTGGGTGCGGTGGTCTCCTTTCCGGCACGAACTCAAACTTTAAGCTAGAGCAGTAGTAGTTGAGCGAATATAGCCAATAGCCGGGGGAATAAAGGCTTTAATGCCTTTCCCGGGCCCGGCCAGAGTGCAAGAAACCCATAAATTAGCCGGAGTGCGCCTTATCCATGTGAGCGCTATGGC